TATAAACATGAAATGACATCAAATCTTTCTGAATACAGCTGTATTATGCTGCCTTTCTCAGGAATAAAGAAGCTTGAGACAAAAATGTTTTTCCTTGGCTGTGAAAAAGCATTCCAGAGACGTGGCATTGCCTCTCCTCTGTGCTTGTAGCTTCTCTTGCCCTGAGTAGAAGTGGTAAGGAACTTGTGAATAGTTAGGTGGAATCCAGTCTATGGTCTGCAGGGCAGAAAGAAAGTGGAAACTCACATTTCCTTCATGTCATGCAGAAAAGATGTTTTCTTGAATCTTATCTATTTTTTTTTCATTGAAAACTTCTACTTCTTGCTATACAGTATTTAGCACTAAATTTATAACAGTGCATAGTGTTGATCTTCCTAATTCCTTAATTTTCTGAATGCTGCTACAATGCCTTTTGTGACTACAATAGTTAGAACTGAAATTCTTCACCTTTTCATTTTGTGATTTTTCTTTGTATAGTTTGTAGTTTCTCCTTATTAGTTTCTCTGCATAGTGTTGAGTTGTAAGGCACAAGTCCCTCAAGATGTTATAAATGGTGGGATTCATGGGTGACATTTTCCAGCACATTTTTGGGATGATCTTATACACAAGACATCAAAAGCCCTTAAGAAATAAATAAGGTTGCTTGTTGAGAATTCGGATGAGTACCATGATTACCACAAAGCACAAATCACTCTAATCACAGTAGTGGACCAGAACATGGAGACAGGTAAACGTATGGAAGATGATTTTTATTAATCCTTTGTGAAATGTTTTCTGTGTGTACTGTGTCAAGGTATCACCTATACACATGATTCTAGTGGGCACTGCAAAGAATATTACATCTTTCAGGACAGACTGGTTTCTAAAATAACTACACTACCCAGGGAGCCCACAAGTAGTAAAAGAGTACCTTTCAAGCACATTGCTAGAGTCTTAAGTTCTCAAGGCCTTAGTGAGAATAGTAAATCGATTAGGGACACTGCAATTGGAAAACAGATGTCCTGTGTAATCATGCCAAAAAGCTATGTCCTTTGTGGTCCAAAACTCCATTCCTCTTTTCTGACACAGTGCATAATTTATCTATTTTATTTGTTTATTGTCAGTCTCTCCCACTAAAATACAGGCTCCACAAAGGTAGAGGCATTTATTTTGTTTTCTGTTGTATCACCCATGCCTGTCAATTCATAAAAGGTTTATGTAATGAATGAGCTAAGAAGAAAGAATTGAAGTATGGGGAGGTAGATTTTTGGCTCAAGAACAAGACTTAATATGATGTGTATTTTTCACAAGCTGGGTATGATTTCCCAGGAAGTGACAACTTTCCTGGAGCTCCAGTTGGGACCAAATGACTTCTAGCCTGGGAAATTTTAAGGGATTACAGTTTGGAGTTTGGCCTCTAAGATTAATTTCAGCCTTGTGGTTCTGAATATGAGCCTTTGTCAAAGAATTTTGTTTGTTTGTTTGTGGTACCAGGGATCGAACTCAGGTCCTTGCTCTGTGAGGCAGGTGGTGGAACCACTGAGCTAAATCCCTGGCCCTGTTAAAGAATTTCACTGAAGAAATCTTGGACAATCATATTGTTATGATAGAAAAAGTGACAACTAACTGATCTGGAGTGTGGGGGACAAGAAGAGATGACATTGGGCCTCTCAACCTGGGGGTTTTGGTGCCATTAAAAGGAAAGCTGAATTTCAGTAGAATAACCCAAAGCCTTATCTATAGTATGGTGCCTAAAAATGGTGGGTGTCCTGAGTGAATTCCTGGAGCCATACAGTTTCATATGATTATCTAGCATGTAGGTATAGCAGCCCCAGTTGAGAAAACTGACCTAGAGTGATTTTTGTTGCTACAAAAGAAAGAGGTTTAAATCAAATCCCTTTCTTCATCCAAAGCTCCTGCTCAGCCTTCTACTTTGGAGAGCTGGGAGTCATCAGAGTGGGGCTTCTTACCAAGGGACCTACTGGCTGCTCATCTGCAGGGAGAAGGTCCACTATGTGTCACTAATTCCACTGTGGACAGCACTTCCCCAGTCCTAGCTCCAGGACTTACCACCTGCTGCCAGAGGGCCTCACAGTAAAACCCCAAGTTAATGATGGTGACACCAGCCAAATATTCTTGGATGGTCTGGTATAACCTGTAATAGAGAAATAATTAAGACAAAGAGTTTTTACTCTCTCCCCTCAGAAGATGATGCCTTGTGAAAACAGCTAATGGGCAGCTATGTGCAGTAGCTTGAGATCTGGGAGAAAAGGAACTCAACAGACAATCAGGAATAAATTCTTAAAGGGGAAATGGGGAGTGAAGGAAGTTCGGAAAGGTAGGTGAAGAAAACACTGGGAGCACTTGGACAACACTGAGTGGACACTACCAGGGGAGCGTTTGTCCAGCTGTGGCATTACAGCTCCTTTCTTTGTACACTGCCATTTATTTCAGTAGGCAGAGAAGAAGGGAGAGACCACAAAATCCCGAGAAGAGGAGGCAGCGAACTAGGAATGCTTTGCAAAACTAAATTTCTGTCTCCTAATAGCTGATAACATCCCCTACTATAACGTGTGAAAGATTTTATTTGCTGTACGAGAAAGGCTGGGAGTAGATGGTAGAGCTTGGGTCAACTCCTTAAGAGGAATATACTGTGCGTTAGAAAGCTGACGGAATATGGATTCAAGGGTTTGTTGTATTTTTTCACTTGCAATTTTTAGAACTATAATTCAGCACTACTGGATTAGAGCATGTTCTATCAGAGTGAAAATCAAAAGCCTTCCTATGAAGACTCAGTGTTACAGCTGAAAGAGGTGACAGTCACATTACTGCCATCAAAAATAATTTATTAGCCGTGTCTGTGCAAAGAACTCTGATAGGCACAAAACCCCAGGGGCTTTCTGTTCCACCGCATCCTCTGCTCTCTGCTGTTTCTTCTGAGTGCAGTCTAGCTATTCACTGGTGAATATAATGGATACCATGCAAACTTCATCTTTGTGGACAGCATTACAGGAAAAGAGAATGCTGGCTCCATTGTCCGCCCTAGAATGTGGGGAAGGTGTGCTGGGATCCTGCCACGATCAACCTCTCATTCTTGGAGCTTATAAATAAAAGCATGCCTGGTTTCTACTTCAGATTAGGAAATCTAGAGAGAGTTGGCAAGCTATGTTTCGCATCATCAGCACATATCAGGCTGATCTTGGCTCTTCAGCGTTCCTTTCTCTTTCTACTCTACCCTGTCCCCTAGGCAGGTACAATGCTGCACCTGAGATTCAGGCACTTGGGTGCCTCCTTACCCAAGGAAAGAAATCAGCAACAGAATTTGAGATGCCGATCCGCAACCCTTTTGCATTTTACCTTTCAAGAGCCCTTGCCTGTGACGTGTGTACCTGTGTGTACATCTACACTTAAAGATAACCCCCCTTTCTCTCTCTCTCTCTGTTTTTAAGGTAAGTTATTTACGGCCCGGAGAGATGTGACAGGTCTGATATCTCCACGGCCGTCTCCACCACCAGCATTTCTCTCAGGAACTCCAAGAAGGGTGGCTCTGGGTGTAGCCGCCCCGCGGCCAGGCAGCAGAGCGCATGGGTCTCCTCCCCGGACGCGCG